CAGAGGGCTAGAGCTGAGAATGAAGCATCCAGTTGCTATGAAGTGAGGGGAGATACACAAGAACGCTGAAACTTGCAGATGGTACCCGTTTGAGCTTGCTTCAATGGCTGGATTATCAGAACTTGATTAGAGGAAAATAAACAATTTTGATAAAGGAAGCAAGTGTAAATTGCTACAATTTGATGAACTTGACCTATACTTATGGGTGTAATAGCTTAAAATACCAACTGAGGGAAGGAGCTAACCTATCATATCAAGGACCAAACCTATCCCCTCAGTACTCAGGGTTGAAAGGGACAGGCAATTTAGATGTTGACTGCCTAAAAGGGGTGGGTGGTGAGGAGAGATGAAGCCTTTGGGTGAGGTGGGACCTGTGAGGTGGGAGAGGGGGGACAGCTGTGATTCTGGGGCTGCTCCTGGGCTGGCTTCCCCTCAGGTTTGAGTTCTGATGGTTTGGATGAGTGGCTTGCTCACAGATAAAAGCTTCTGAAACTAGGCTTTAGCAGGGGTGGTAGTGGGAGGGGGGAGCAGGGCGCTGAGAGCATCCTGAGCTTTAGTGAGCTGAGCTGACTGACAGAAACATCTTTTAACTATAAATAATAGCTGTCCTGGACAACAGCAGTGGAAACTCAAGCCTGGTGGTAGGGCCCCTGGGGGTACCTGTTTTTTATTCTGAGGATTTTATTTCCTCCCAGTAAATGTAACAACCACTTTTAAAGAGGAGGTTGCGTAATCTATTTAAGATACATGATTTATCCAATAGAAAAATGGGTGTGGCTCAAACCCACCAGCCACTCCTTAGTCTTGGAAGGAAGTTTGCCCTGAGGGGACCCGACCACTTGCCTTGATGTCTCCTGGGCAAGCAACTTGCTTGTTCTTGTAGTAATCAGTCAGACTGCTGATATAGTTTTATATTTTTCCTGTTGGTCAGTGGCTGACTTTTAGAAAGTACATCACCAGGTCTTTCTTCCAAGGTAACTCTGTGGATTTGAACATTCAGCCTTTCAGTTAGCAGCTGAGCACATGAATGTTAACTGTTTTCACCACCCAAGGGCTTTAAAATAAAGGAAGAAGACTTCCCTTTTTGATGTTGGTAGCTTCCTGGTCTACTTACAACTCCTTCTCATGGAAGCCCTGTGACATGGGCCCCAATCAATCAAGGGGAGACCAGCTGCAAGAAGACTATGATCCTTACAGCTGCAAAGTTTCACACGGAGAAGAGAAATAGCTGCACCAAAAGCTTAGAACAGGAAATAATTTAGATCCAAACTTTTCTGAACAGTAATTGAAAGATCTATAAGGAAGCAGGGAGGGGGGTACTGAGGAGTGGCCGTTCTCAAGCTAAACTAATGGCTCACAATTATTTAAGTAAAGAATATTGTGTTTTAATTGATCTATGTCATGATGAGGATTTTTGTTGTCTTTACATTGAGGTGGAACCTATACTGAAGGCTGTGTTCTTTGACTTTCTTCAATATTTTAAGTCCTCTTTTCTTTCAGCAACATCATGATAAATGGAGAAAAGGTTGAAGTTGTCTAAGACTGCATTTTGCTTGGATCAAGTATCAACATTCATGGAAACAGCAGTCAAGAAACCAAATGATATATGTTGTTGTTGTTAAGTGCCGTTGAGTCAGTTCTGACCCATAGCGACCCTGTATAGGGTTTCCAAGGTGCAGCTGGTGAACTTGAACTGCCGACCTTCCAGTTCAAATGGCTGTGCAGTCTGGTGCATTAACCCCTAGTGCCACACTAGGACTCCATAAATGATGTATGTTGTTGTTGTGTAGTGCTGTTGAGTTGGTTCTGACCCATAGTGATCCTGTATAGGGTTTCTGAGGTGCATATGATGTATGTTGTTGTTAAGTGCCGTCGAGTTGGTTCCGACCCACAGCGATCCTGTACAGGGTTTCCGAGGCTGTAAATCTTTACAGGAGCAGAAAGCCTCATCTTTCTCCCACGGAGCAGCTGGTAGTTCCGAACTGCTGACCTTAAGGTTCACAGCCCGATTCGTAACCACTATGCTACCAGAGCTACCGTTATGTATTAATTAGATGTATAGCATTAGGTAAATCTGCTGCCCAATACCTCTTTAAAGTTTTGAAGAGCAAAGATGTCAGTTTGAGGACTAATGTGCGCCTGACGCAAGCCCTGATATTTTCAATAGGCTCATATGCATGCGAAAGTTGGACAGTGAATAAGGGAAATCGTAGAAGAATTGATGCATTTGAGTTATGGTGTTGGAGGAGAATATTGAAAGTTCCATGGGCTGCCAGAAGAACAAACCAATCTGTGCTGGAATAAGTACAACTAGAATGCTCTTTCAAAGGTAGGATGGTGAGATTTCATCTCTCATACTTTGGACATCATTATTAGGAGGGATCAGTCCTTAGAGAAGGACATTGTGCTTGGTAATGGAGGGTCAGTGAAAAAGAGGAAGACCCCAATGAGATGGATTGGCACAGTGGCAGCAGCAATGGACTCAAGCTTCACAAAGATTGTGTGGATGGGGCAGGGCCGGGCAGGGTTTCTGCTGGGTTTAAGTTCACTATGGGTCAGAATCGACTCAACAGCACCAAACAACAACTGATCTATGTTTAGGAAATTTTATGATTTCTAATTTATTGTTAGGAGCTCTGGTAACGTAGTGGTTACGAATCGGGCACGAACCTTATGGTCAGCAGTTTGAAACTACCAGCTGCTCCGTAGGACAAAGATGAGGCTTTCTGCTCCTGTAAAGATTTACAGCCTCAGAAACCCTGTACAGGGCTGCTATGGGTCGGAACCGACTCGACAACACTTAACAACAACAACAACAACAATCTATTGTTGGAGTCCTGGTGTGGTGCTGCGGGCTAACACGTCAGACTGCAAAGTCATTTGAACTGCAAGGTCAATGGTTCAAGTTCACAAGCTACTCTTTGGAAACCCTATACAGGGTCGTCATGGGTCGGAATCGACTTGCCAGCACTTAACAACAACAACAACAATAATCTATTGTTGTGGCTGAGTTTTTAGGAATCTGTTATTTTGGAGAAAATCATCATGAATCTTTAATAGAGACACCAGACTTTCAGGAATTCAGCAAACAAGACCGAAAACATCTCTGGGTGCAAGACATACCATGCAGACATTCCAATCATGTATGGTTCTGGGAGCGGGGGAGCACTAAGATGAAAGTGTCCATGAGCTCCTTCTTGGCATTCCTGAGCCGGATGCCAGAGTCTCTGCTTCAGTTATCGCAGCATTTGTAGAAAGCCTTGCCAACTCAGCCTCCTCAAACAGCCACATGTTGAGAGCATCTGCGTCTAAATATGCCAGTAATGCAATCTGTCAAGTGGTGACAAATAGGGATCATTTAAAGAAGGAATGCCACCATGCTCATCCATTCAACAGATACTTCTTGAATACCTATGACAAGGGGATGGGGTGATGAGACACAACCATTCTCCTTTGAAAGGACAATGTGAAGATACATCTTGAAAATATTATGGGTTTCAATATTGCAATAAAGCCAGGCACACAAACTTCTTGGTTTCCGTTGACACGAGACTGGAGTCCATGACATGATGCCAACCTTGGAGATCCAAAACAAGACATCTTTCAGGAGGCCATCGCCGGCCAGGCCTACCCAGGGCTCTCAGTCAACGCTATTCTGAATTACTTATGTTCCAAGGTGCATGCTCTCTTGTGTATTAACTTTATTATTTTTAACCACCAGAGGTAAGTGTTATATTAGCCAAGACTGTCCCGGGCCCTATATTTGTCCATAATATTTTTGACTCTCTGCCACTTTGGACACAATTATTTTGAGCATTCTATTTTGTATCGTAAGTCTCAATGACTCACACACACAAATGGTCTTTCTTTCACACACATACACAACTCACATACACACTCTTTCCCATTCTCACACATTCACACACATATGTACTCTCCCCCACTAATCTTTCTGACATACACACTCAAACACACTCCCAGTCTCTCTGTCACACCGTGTCATGCACACACACGTCTCTCTCACACTCACACACTCAACCTCTCACACATAGTCTCACACACATTCTTGCACACAATCATGTGTCTTACAGAGATACACACACAGTCATAACAGTGTCTTCTTGTAACATATACACACCTCACAATGCTCGTACACATATGTTCTCTTACATGCACACACTTTCTCACACACATACTCTCTCAACCCAACATACACACTACCTCTCTTACACACATGTTGTCTCTTTCTCACACACACACTCTGTCTTTCACATACAAATTCTGCAGCTCTCACAATACACTGTCTCACCTCCACTTACTCTCTTTCTCTCTCACACAATCTCTTTCACACATGTGCTCTCTCACACACTTGTACACACACTCTTTCTTACACAAACTCACATACTCACCCAAGTGCACACACACTCTTACATTCCTTCTGTCACATACAGCATTTCACACATTGTCTTGCATGTACACACTCTTACACACACTCTGACATACACACACCCTCTTTCTCCAGCATACTCATACACACGGTCTCACTTTTTGTGTCTTACACAATTATCTCTCTCTCTCTCAGTTTCTGTCTTTCACAGTCTCTGTCTGTCTCTCACACAGTCTCTCTCTCACACACATGCTCTGCAAACAATGGGTAAAGCACAGGACAGAGGCCAACACTGAGACTCCATCTGCTCAACTTGGGTCTCCACCAAGGGTTCCGGGAAATCCAAGTGTCATCTTCCAGGACAGCCTTTCCCTTTGGCCCTCACCCCAGAGCACATTACTGTACCCACCTCCAGGTGTCTCCCAGGGAGCACAGCGGCAGGCCCTGGTGCAGATGAGTCACCCAAAGCACTGGAATCTCTGCAGCATGGTTCTCATTCCAGCCTGACCACCCCTGCGGACCCTGTCCACCCCCACGCCTGAGCTCAGCCAAGTCCCCGGGCCTAAAGATGGAGGTGCAGGCTTGACTCCAGCCCCTGTGTGGCCCCATCTAGGGCCTCTTCCAGGATGATCTCATCCAGTTTAACGGCTTTGAACACCACGTCACTGTAGATGACTCTGCCGGTAACTCCAGCCCTACCTCTTCACTGAGGCCCAGACTTCATTTCAAAAGTCTGCATCATGTCTCAACCCAGAGGCCCAACAGGCTTGTCTAGCTCAACACAACCAAAGCTGAATTAGTGACTTCCCACATGTGACTCTCCTCTGTCTCTTTTGTCTCAGTAAACAGCTCCATACTGGCCCCATCTCCCCCCATGGGCTCCACACACACACACACACACATACTCACACTCTCTCTTACACACAATTCCTCTTACATATACATACTTTTTCACTCACGCTCTCTGAACACACACGTAATCTACCCCCCCCACTATCTTTCTCTCACACACTCTGTCTCTCTTACACACTGCTTCTTTTGCACACCATGTCACTACACTGTACACACTCTTTGTCTCTCTCACACACACCATTTCTCCCACACTCAGAGACCCAAGTGGAGCAGCTGGAACCTCAGTGTTGGCCCCTGTCTTCTTGAGCTTTACCCATTGTGTGTAGAGTGTGTGTGTGAGACAAAGAGACTGTCATTCACACACTCACACATGTTTCTTCTCTCCATTCCACACACACACAGTGTGCTCCATAAGTGACTCTTTTACGCACACACTTGCAAGCACACACTTCCTTTCTCACCCACACATGTTCTCTGCATTCTTGTGCTCTCATTCCGGCACGGTGCCTTTCCCGTCACCTCTCAGCATTTCCAGGGCTCCCTCCTCTTCCATTCAGCCTTTGTGGAACTTCCTTTGGGGCCTGACTTCCTTCTGGCCAACAGATCATGATGGAGGGGAGGGGTCTTCACTCCCACAGTTGGTATGGAGACTCGTTTTGGCAGACGCCCTCTAGGGTAGACCCTCTAGACTATTTGGCAAAGAGTTGCAGGTGGCCGTGGGAACTCTGTTGCCTTGTAACTGCAGAAGATGGATTTTCACCGAGGCTGAAAATTATTTAAGTTTTAGAATCATTCATGTCTCAGTGACCACGGAAGATTTAAGAAGAGATGTGAACGGAAAGATAAGAGGCCCAAGTCTTAGATCCGGAAGGTATGGCTGCACGAAGTTGAGTTGGACATATAGAAAGCCGTGTTTACCAGAGCCGCCTTCTCCAGCTTCTAGCTTTGCTATTTAGTTTATGAGTCTTTGGGTGATGCAGACAGTGCAGTGCTTTGCTGCTGACTGAAAGGTTGGAGGTTCCAGCCCACCCAGAGTCTTCTCAGAAATAAGGCCTGGAGACTTACTTCTGAGAAATCAGTCTCTGAAACCCTAAGGACATTGGGTTTTTTGTTTTTCTGGTGTATGAACTTGCTGCCTCTAGGTCTGCAGCCTTGAGAATGGTCTGTAGGGGAGAGGCTGTTCCCAGGGAATAGGAATTCCAGAGAAGAATAAGTCACAGATACCCCGACAATTCCAACTGTGGCAGCAGTAGGCAGGCAAAATGGGGAGGCAAGTCAGGGACCTGGGGCAAGCCATGGTTACCCAGTCTGGGGACATGTGCATCCTGACTGGGCCTGGCTGCTGCCTTCCTCCTTGTCTGAGCGCGCTCCTTCCCTGGAGCCTGGTTGATGCAGAACTCTGGTGCTCAGCCTAGCCTTCTCCCCATACAGACCCAGAAAGGCTGGGTCTCAGGGTGGCCGTGGGATGCAGCCGGGGCTCTTGGCTTTCTTCAGGCTGCTAGTCATGTTGTTGTGCCTACCGGGCATCGCCACAAATGGCTTCATAGTGTTGGTACTGAGTGGCAAGTGGCAACTGGTGCATCTCAGCCTGGGTTCCTCGCAGTTCTGCCTGCAGTGGGTGGGCCTGGCCAACAAACAACGTCTACGACACACTGCACCTGGTGCAGTACTCGAGCGGCCTGTGCGCCAACACTTCAGCCTACACTGGGACATCCTCAGTACAGCCACCTTCTGTCTGGGCACCTGGCTTGGCATGCTTTTCTGCGCCAAGATCACCGGCTTCGGCCACTCTGCATCCTCTGGCTGCAGGGGAGGCTGCCGGCCTGAGTGCCCTAGTTGTGTCTGCGGTGGTCACCCTCTTGTTCTTCTGGGGGAACCACATGGTGTACCAGAGGTTCTTGATTGGGCACTTCGAGGGGAACAAGACCTACCAGGAGTGGAACCATAGGCTGGAGATGTATTATTTCCTGCCCCTGAAGCTGGCCACGCTGTTCCTGGCCTCTAGGACTCAGCTCATCAACTTCCCTCCTGAGCACAGGATGCGGTAACTGGCTCCGGGGCCTGCAGGACTCTCGTGCCCAGGTGCCCAGGAGCGCACTCCACTCCCTCATCTCCATCCTGGTCCTGTATGCACTGCCCTTCATGTCTCTCATCATTGATGCGGCGGACTTCTCCTCTGAGAGCGACTAGTACTGGCTGCAGCAGATTCTCATCTATCTGTTTATCTATCTGTTTCTCCCCTTCATCCTCCTCCTAGGCAACCTCAAGTTTCCAGCTGTGTGCCTGCAGCTACTTCTGCCGCCCAGAGTGTTCTGGGGGAGCTAGGTCATGGGGTACTTAGCTAGACCCCCCACCCCAAGAAGCTGGTGCAGGTTGCAGGACCACAGCCCGCCCATGGAAATGTCACCTTGGGCAGAAAGTGTTACTGGTTGAGAAGGATCTAAACCTACTGCCAAGTCAATTCGGACACTTAGAGGCTCTAGGACACAGTAGCCCTGCCCAAGGCTTCCCAGGTTGGCAGTCTCTGAAGATGCAGACTGCCTCATCTCTCTCCCACTGAACCACTGGTGGGTTAGAACAGCTCACCTTTCGGTTAGCAGCCGAAGTGCTTAACACATTGCATCACCAAGACTCTTCTTGAACCTCTGTGATCTGCTTCCTCTCCCAGTGATGCCATTAAAATGGGGCTGAGAGTCCCAGGGAACCTGTACTGCCCAGGCCTTATTGTGGGTTACTCTCTGTTTTCCCCACCTGTGTTATCTGGATGAATGTGGGATACTCTGTTTTCCCCTCTGTTAGCTAGACGATTGTGAGTTGCTCTCTGTTCTCCATTTCTGTTATCTGGGGTCCTGCTGCTAAGGTCATGGTTGAATGTTCCAGCCCCTCTGAGAAAATGTGTGTGCTGATGGGGTGCAGTGATCTTGGGGGGCAATATAATGTGAAAGGGAGAGGCATGAAGGGCACCTTCCCCGGGTGGAGGTACGTTGCTTCTTTCTGAATCTGGAGAGTTTGCTTCCCATTTCTGATCACAACTCCGCCCCCTCTCCTTTCTCCTGCATGGTTCCATTCTTCTGTCTTGCATTTTTCTTTTTCTGAAGTCAGAGTGTCAGCCAGACCTTTTCCATGTTTGTGATTCCTGACACACTGGGAAGCACTCTCTGGGCCTTTTTTTTTTTTTTTTTCTTTCCCCAAGCAAATGTCACAAAGTCACATCTGCATTGAATAAACATGTAATTTTCATTCTGAAAAACACTCAAGAATTTCACTTCATTTGTATCTAGAAACTAATTTTTTTAAAGTACTACCCTATTAAATTTCATGTTTTAATATTGCTTTAAAGTGATTTGCTCCAATTACAGTGGAAATTTTTTAGAAGCAAATTTGGAGAAAATTTTAATTGGATTTGTGTGCCTCTGAAGCAGATTCAGAAGGTTTTGCTATAAAGGTATCAATGTGCAAGTTTCAACTATTTTTCCAATGTGGCACTGGTGGTGCAGTGGGTTAAGTGTTGAGCTGCTAACTGCAAGGTCAACAGTTCAAACCCACCAGCTCTACTCAGGACAAAGATAAGTCTGTCTGCTCCCAAAAAGATTCATTGTTGTTAAGTACCATTGAGTTGGTTCTGACTCAGAGTGACCCTGTATAGGGTTTCCTAGGAGCAGCTGCTGAGTTTGAACTGCCGACCTTGAGGTTCAGACTGACCTTGCAGTCTAGTGCATTATCCTACAGGATCACATCAGGACTCCCATCAAGATTTACAGTTTTGGAAATCCTAAAGAGCACTTCTACTTTGTCTTATAGAGTTTTCTGAGTCAGAATTGGCTAGACAGCAGTGGATTATATATATATATATATATATATATAATTTTATGATATATTATATTGTTAAGTGCTATCTAGTCAGTTCCAACTCATAGTGGCCCTTTATAGAGTTTCCAAGAAGCAGCTGATGGGTTTGAACTGCTAACCTTGTGGTTTTCAGACCAATACTGATCCTATAGTACCACACCAGGAGTCTACTGTATGTATATATCTTCAAAACCCACTGCCAATGACTCAATTCTGACTCACAAAGACCTGTACAGGATTTCTGAGGCTGTATATCTTTATGGGAGCAGAAAGCCTCATCTTTCTTCTGAGGAGCCTGTGGTTCGCAGCCCAGTGCCTGTCCTATACACTACCAGGGTTCCTCAGTGTGTGTATATACAGACCTCAAATATAGCACGTGAGGTGGGGCTTGATGGAAGGTTAAGGAGAGGCACCGTGCAGGCCTTTGTCAGTAATAACACAGAATACTGGATGAAGGTTCAGAGGATGGTCCAGGAACTACATACAAAGGAATATTTACAAGGATCGAAGGCTTACTGCTTCGGGATTTGTAGCAGAAGCAAGAAAGGTGGTGTTTTCTGATCTGTGGCTACTGGTGGTCCCAGAGTGGCCCTCTTGGCCGTGATGGAGCTGATACAAGAGCAGGGAGGACTCCTATCATAGGGGTCTGGCTGATCGTTGGAGATAAAGTCATGAACGGTGTTTCCCTAGTTCATTTGTCTCTCTCTTTCTGTGTACCCTTACTTTGGTGACTAGAGGGGGTGTCTTAGCCAGTGGGAACCCCTCTGCCCCTGGAGGGTTCTACTATAAGATAAGCACTATAGGATAAGCACTGGACTGCAAACCACAAGGTCTGCAGTTCAAACCCACAAGCTGTTCCAAGGAAACCCTGTACAGAGTTGCTATGAATAGATCTGCTCAGCAACAATCACTGGGCCCAAAACAACAGAAGGAGAAGGAGTCAACAGGAACTGCTTAAAATGGGAGGGTCTCCTAAAACCAGAGCCGGCCCTAGGCTGTTCCTCACTGGGAGAAACACCTGGACGGGCTTCAGGAAAGGTGAGAGAGACCCACAAAAAAGGAAAAAGGCCAAAAATGAAATCTTGAGTTGTGTCATAAGGAGCAACAGTAACATCTTGAAATTTTTCAGGTGGCCTTGAAGCTAAGAAGCTGAAAAAGGGACGTTGACATCGATCGTAAACTTTAGTGTCCAATCTATTTTTGTTTTTGTTTTTTTTTGTGTGTGTGTTTGTTTTGGTTTGGTTCCCCTTTTACATTGGGGGGGGGGCTTTTTATCTCCTTACATTGCTCAAGTAGAGACAATTGTGGTCATATAGCCAAACTACAGTCACACCTTATAAAATTCCACCATCCAGGAAAGATCCTTACGAATCGGGCTGTGAACCTTAAGGTCAGCGGTTCGAAACTACCAGCCGCTCCACAGGAGAAAGATGAGGCTTTCTACTCTCGTAAGGATTTACACCCTCGGAAACCCTGTACAGGGTAGCTACGGGTCGGAACTGATTCGACGGCACTTAACAACAACACAACAACATACACCAAATAGATAGGCAACATTTGCTAAAATTACTCTGAGTTGAGAAAAAAAAAAAAAAAAAGAAAGAAAAGGGAAGCCCATGTCCTGAACACATCTACCAGGAGGCAATCAGAAAGCTTACTAAAACACTGACATATATTCCTCTAATTATTAAAAATATATCTAATTATTGAAAATGCCCCCAAAGCAACGAAAAGTCTCAGCTCATGTCCAGAAACAAGATAGAGTATCTGAAACAAATTAGCTAGAGACAGACCTAGACTTTCCATTGGAAGGAGGGTAGGCTTTGAAACTGCCTGAGAAGGAATTCAGGAAAATGATATTGAGGTTCATCCAAATGCTCCACAGAGGGGATGAGTAAATAAGGAAGAAGTCAGGAAAGTGCTACAGGAACAATCAAACAAGATAGAGGTAGCACTGGAAACAATTCAAAACCTGCAAAAAAGTCCAAAAAATGACAACATTAAAATGATAAAGAAACTGGTAAGAAAGAGCACCAAAAACATGAACTCAGCACAGGAAGGTGTGTATAACAAAGAAACCAGCAACACTACACACAAAAAAACAAAAAACAAATGTAATGACAGCAATGAATTCATAACTGCTGATAATGACACTGAATGTCAATGGATTAAATGCACCAGTCAAGAGACAGAGAGTGGCAGAATGGAGAAGCAAACAAGATCCTTCAATAAGAGACTATCTATAAGAGACACACCTTATGCACAAAAACAAAAACAGATTAAAAGTTAAAGGATGGGGAAAAACACACCAAGCTAATTGCAATAAAAAGCCAACTGCAGTGGCAATACTAATCTCTGAGATAATAAACTTTAAGCCCAAACCCAGCAGAAGCTATAAAGAAAGACATTATCTCATGATTAAAGGGCCGATTGAACAAGATGACATAACCATAATAAATATCTGTACTCCCAATGAAAAAGGTCCAAAATATATAAAGCAAATTCTAATATATTTGAAGAAAGAAATAGAAAAATCTACAATAATAGTGGGAGAGTTCAATACACCACTTTTGAAAAAGGATAGAGCAACCAGAAAGAAACTCGACAAAGACACAGAGGAACTAAACAACACAGCCAACTGGACCTCATAGAGGTGCACAGAGCGTTCAACCCAACAACAGCACAATACACATTCTTTTCCAGTGCACATGAAATATTCTCCAGAATAGACCATGTGTTAGGTCATAAAACAAGTGTCCATAAATTTACAAAAATCAAAAGAGTTCAAGGCATCTTCTCAGACCACAATGTTATAAAATTAGAAATCAACAAAAGTCTTAGTCGGAGGTATAAGGCAAGATAGGGAAATTAAAGGCATCCAAATTGGCAAAGAAGAAGTAAAACTCTATTTGCAGAAGATATGATCCTATACACAGAAAATCCCAAAGATTCAGCAAAAAAAACTTACTAGAACTTCATTGAAAGATTCAGCAAAGTGATAGGGTACAAGGCTAACATACAGAAATCAGTTGATGTGTCTGTACTAATAATGAGAGCTCTGAACAGGACATGAGGAAAGCAATACCATTTACAATAGCTGCCCAAAGGATGAAATATTTAGGAATAAATCTAGCCAGAGAAACAAAAGACCTATGCAAAGAAAACTACCAGACACCAAAAGAGACTTACAAAAATGAAAGACTATACCATGTTCCTGGGCAGGAAGATTTAATAATGGTGTGAAAATGTCAGTCCTACTCAAATATAGCATGTGTGACTGAGATGAAGAAAAGCATGGGGCAGGAGCTCTGTGCTGAAGTGAACCTGGAGCTCATGAGAGG